TTCGATTGGTTTTTGAAAAAAAATAATTATTGATTTTTTAAAGATTTTTTTTATTTAAACATTTTAATTATTTATTTAAGACTTTGTCATTTTAAAATTTTTTAAAGATAATATCAATTTTGTTGAATATTTCTCCATATTTTATGCTATTGTAAAATATATAACATATTTATTTTTCTTTTATTTTTCCTAAAACATCAATATAAAACAAAAATATATATATGATGATTTTTTTATTAAACCAAATAAAAAATCATTAAATTACTATAAAATCATTAAACCAAATAAAAAATACTATAGATTAGATTTTATTAAATATTAAATTATTGTTTAGAAATATCTCAAAATGTTAAATATGTTATATACATGGAGATTTTCGAATTAAATTTCCACTTTTTTGGCAACAAAATTAGTATGATCCATAAATATAGGTAGTTTCTGTTTTTTATTATTTATTTATTTATTAAAACATTTTTGCTATCATTAGTTTTGTTTGGCAACTGAAATATATTTCATGAAATTTTTTTTTAAAAAATTGGGTCTGTTTGGCTTCAAGTTGTCCTTCCCAATTAATAGTATAGATTCTTTTTTTCGTCAAAATATAATTATATAGATGAAGATCGGGTAATTCGGGTCAGACATTCGGGAACCCGTTTGGGTTCAGGTTCGGTATTTCCGATTTTTAGGTTTTTGGGTTTGGAGATATAGAACCTGTATGGATATTTCTAGATTTTGGGTTCGGATCGGATTCGAATCTGGTATTTCGGGTTCGGGTTTGGATTATCCGAAATTCTCAAAATTCAAAATTTAAGTATCCAAATATGTCCAAACTACTAAAAATTTCAAAACCTATATAACTTTTTACTTAAATTTAGTTAAATAAGAGTTTATAACTTTAAAAAATCCAAAATATACAAAAACTGGATAATTTTGACATTAGATTATTACTAACACATATACATATATTATTAATAAATTATTTTATATATTTATATTATGGGTATATTCGGATATCCGTTTGGGTTCGGGTTTAGAGATATGTATAGAACCCGTTTGGGTATTTCTAGATTTCGGATTCGGGTTCGGATCGGGCTTTTTGGATCGGGTTCGGGTCGGATTTTTGGGTCCGAATATTTTGTCTAGGCCTAGATGAAATAATGTAATCATGATACAATTGTTGTGATAGTCAAATTGACGGATTAAAACAGTCAGAGTAAAGAGGTAAAACATTACAACCATATTTTGCTAAAAGGTGGGGAGCACCATTGCAATTTCTCCTAGTGAAAATTAAAGTAGCTGATTAAAATTTTGAAGTCCAAAAATATATATCATGTAAAACACCTTCAATAGAACATCAATATGTTGGTTATTGATAGATCTTATACAGAATTTCACTATCTCTTTCAAAATAAATCACTTTAATTCCTTTAATCCAACATTGTTACATAGCTAAAATTAACGCCTTCGTTTCTACTTCCAATGGAGATGTAGCATGTCTCAATACCGCATATCCCCAACTAAAGAAACCACCTCGGTAATATAATTCTAATTTTAAGTTACTAATTCTACAAGAAAAAGATTACCTTTAAAAACACAACCATTAACTATATTTTACAACTAAACAAAACAATTTCTTTAAAAACACCACCATTGGTTCAACTTTGTTCTATTGTTAAACATTTTATTTTCTTTTGAAAAAAAATAATTTCTTATGACGGTATCTCATTTTAATCAAAATATTTCATATTATAAGGTAAAAATACAAGCAAAATATTTCATATTATAAGGTAAAAATACAAGAACTTTTTTTTTAAAACCGATGACGTGTCTGTTTCTTATTGGCTAAAATTTAAGACAAAACAAAAAGTATAAACACTCATCGTCTTTCTCACTCTCTTGTCGGAAATTATCGATCTGTTTGATTAGAGAGAAGAAATTGCAAAGAAACTCGTAATTCACCGCCGTGAACATCAGCTCCACCGAGGTTAGTCACCATCTGCTAGTTCGGAAGACCAAATCGGAGAGAAGCTTAAATCCCCAAATCGATGATTGGCTTGGAGCAAAATCGGAATGTTTTGGTGAAATCGATGCCTCAAATCTCTTTCTCATGGTATGATTCTTTCTATTTTTGTTCGTGAATTAGGGTTTATTAGCTGTGATTGTAATTAGGGTTTATCTGAATTGGGATTTTTAATGTTAGAAAAATTAGGGTTCTTTCATGTTAGCACAGTTAGGGTTCTTTGAGTAAATAATCAGTCTTTACTTCCTTCTTATTAATGATTGCTTTGTTTCTCTGTTTTGGTTGGCATATTGTATTAAGTTATTGTCGTTTCAAGCTATTTAAATCTCTGAAAACAGTCAAAAACCAAATCAGTTTGGTGGGAATGAGCAAATGAGGAAGACTCAACAACCAAATCATATTGAGATTTATTATGATCCAAGCATAGACGAAGATCAACCTAAGGAGCGTAAAGAAAGAAAAAAGTGGTCACACAAAGATGACTTGGTGCTCATCTCAGCTTGGCTCAACACTAGTAAGGATGAGCAAAAAGGTTCGTTTTGGTCACGCGTTGCAGCTTACTATGCTGCTACTTCTAAGCTAGCTGGTTTGGAAAAGAGACGTCCCTGTCCTTGTAGACAAAGGTGGCGGAAGATCAACAAGATGGTATGCAAGTTTGTTGTAAGTTTTGAGGCTGCAACAAAACAGAAATCAAGTGATCAGGGTGATGATGATGTCATGAATATGGCTTACCAGATCTACTTGAATGAACACAAGGAGAAGTTCACCCTTGAGTATGCTTGGAGGGAGCTAAGGCATGATCAGAAATGGTGTAGCTATGCATTTAGTAAAGATAATAGAGCTTTAAAGAGAAGAAAGTGTGATGATCTCTCTGCACAGTCATCAAGCTCTTTTCCTGGTATCCATGAAGAGGATCAAGCTCGTCCTCCTAGTGCTAAGGCAGTAAAGTCTTATATGTTGGAGTTTCAAGGCATGTGGGAGATAAAGCAAAAGGATTGGGTAATGAAGGAGAGGCTGTCGAAGAACAATTTGCTGGAAAGTCTTCTTGCAAAAAAAGAGCCACTTTCTGATTTGGAAGTGGCTTTGAAGAACAAACTAATAACTGACATGTTGTCTAATGTTTGAATGAGTTTCTGTTTATGTTTGTGTTATAATCTTTAAAAACTTTCGGTTATAACTTGATCTGATTTTGTTTGTATTGATCTTGATATCTTTTGTATAATGAATCAGTTTGTATGTATTGGTTGAATCAGTCTAATGAATCAGGTTTGATCTGTTTCATGTTCTCTTTTTCAGGTTTCGAAAGTGGCATTCTCATATCTGTCTCTCTATTCTTG